AAATATAACACCTGACGTTCTAGAACATTTATCTCAAAGAACTACACAGAACCATAGAGATGGTATATTTGGTGAAGAGTTTAGAAAGAAAGTTAGGGAGAGAGAAGGAAGAGAACCTATTGTACATGACCTTGCAAACGAAAGTTTGCAAAATGTCATAAAAACTTACTTTGCAGACAATGAACCGAGAAGGGATGAATATTTAAGAAAACTCAAATGGACAGTACCAAATGAAATGTTAGTATTGAAAAACATGTTCCTTGACAAAATAAAACCAACTACAGAAATAAATGACGCAAGACTGAAACATTGGGTAAAAGCTTTCCCATTCACAAAAGATATTATTGGTAACATGGAAAGAAAACCAGAATGGCTACAAAAACATATATTTGGAAACGAGCATATTCCATATGGACAAGCTCTGTTTGAAGAGCTTGAACCGGAAACTCAGGAAAGAGTCATGCAAACAATACGCGAAGACTCAAATACAAACTATGACAAAATCTTTCTAGGATATAGGTTACCTGAGTTGGGCGACCAGAGCCCAAAGGCAAAAAGGACATGGGAAATTTACAACATACTAGGTGAACATGAGGCAAAGATGCAACAACTTGAAGCAGAGGGCAAGTTACCAAAAGCGACACCAAAGAAGAAGAGTAGAACAAAGTGAAAGTAGTGAAGAAGTAACTTCATCTAGTGAAAGTAGTGGCAATGAAGGAAAAAGAAGAGTTAAAAACTCAGTCAGGAAGAAAGTAAAGCTTGGTCCGAGTGGGTTCTATTATGATATATAAATCCAACTATTCTATATTTTTACCCATATGAAATGTACGCCGCTCAGAATATAACGCCAACAGTTTTGGATGCCATGAACGGAAATGTTTCCGAATGGTATAACGAATGCGACAATGCCATTAGAAGGTATTATAGTTTGGAACTTACAACTGCTGTTTCTTATGGAAACGTAGGTGAGTTTGGAGAAGGTTCTTCAACAACAGTAGATATTGCTTGCGACAGGTTTCATATTATTTCTATTCTCATTCTTATACGTGGAACAAGACATTGAAATAAAACCTTCTGCCAAGTTGTCTGACAAGAAAGGTTGCAATGGAATTTTCTATGTCGGATACCAATATGCTCCAGAAGTTTTCATGGGATATAAGATATATTCTAACTCTGACTTAGTTCAAACAGTAACATGGGCAAACTATGAATGGTTCGCTTTAAGAAACTCAGTACAACCACAAGCTAGAGAACAAACAGACCAGTATGCAAATATTGAGAAAATAAGAAGACTTGACCCTAACGTTCCAGGAGTTTATGTTAACCTTTCTGGTTCAGATGGAACTGCTGCCACTAAAGTAAAACTGAAACTTAGAGTTCCTTTGTCATCTTTCCTCATCTTCAGGTTTTTAAGATACTTGCCAAACTGGGCAGGAAAAATTTCTATTGAACTTACTCCAAGCAAAAATAACTTAGTCATTGCACCAACACAAGACCCATTCACTCTTACAGACGTAATGGGAACAAATAAAACGTCATTCGCCGAATTTTGCAAAGGCAAGGTTGACTTAGACTTTGGTTTCTCAAACCTCAACACTGAAGTAAACTATTATTTCAATGCTGCTGGAGATGCTTGGGACCCAGTTAAGTTTACATGCGAAAAATTTGAATGCAAGAGAATAGAAAGCAGACTTGCAGTCTATATGTTGGACCCAGATATTTCAAATGCTTTAGCTGCCAAATATATTGCAGTTCCACTTATGTTCCCTATACACCAAATATCTGTCAAAGACTTTGCAGGTGAAGTTGGAAACCAAAATCCAGGAGCCGCAGGTGCAAGAACAGATATTGCTTTAACAACTGCAATGAAACATGCAGATACTATGTTTGTACTTTCAGACGAACTATAAATGACTATTCTTGTTTCTACAACCCCGGTATTAAATATCATATAAACATAGATGGCAAATATTATCCAAGAGAAGAATATTCTACAGTTGAGGATATGAGGTCATACAACTTGACATTAGATGCTATGAACTTTAACAACAACTTCACAACAACCATTAACCCTGAAATGCAAAGTTCTATTATGCCATATGTGAAAGTATGGACTCATACAGGAGGTCAAAAAACTCAATATACAAATGGAGACCGTTCAAACTTTTGGCTTGGCATTCCATTTGCTGACTCAGAAGACTTTATGGGTGGTATTTCAACTGTTGGTGCTGTACAAATACAATATACTGGTGACAGAGACGGTCCAGATGAATTGAAAGCAAAGAAGTTTACAAAACCAATAGCACTTTTCACGGAAGATGTCTTTTTGAAGATTCGTTCGATGAAACCTGCTGGGGCTCCTCAGATTGGCATAACGACAGCTTCCATCGAGCAGATTTTGGCAGCAGGTCAGTAAGTTGTTCTTGAACTGACTTCTCTCCGTCAAATATTGACAGTACGCCAGTTTTGACATAATATTGTAAGATAAACTTACCTTTAGAAATATCTGTAAGTTTTGTTGTTATATTTTTGTCAACGTCAAGAACTTTCACCATTTCAGTTATACCAACTTTCTTTGCTTTATGGAAATATTTTGGTTCAGCAAATATTGCTATTCTATAACATTTACCATTGTTTGTATAAAGAACTATTCTGTCAATGTATTTGTATTGTTTGTGTGTGTAAACTTTGTTCTGCTTCAATTCGAAGAGATACTCGAATACGTCCATCTTTTTATTCTAAGTAAAATGTCATTTCCGAAAAATAGAAGCGTGAGTGTTTCAAAAGGTTTAATGGCGGTGGCAGATGTGAAGTTAAATTCACCAACTCAAACAAACAGTCAAAGTGTTGTTGTCAATGTCAAAGACAGAGATGTTGAAGTGGGGAAACCATACGAAGACGAAGATGGTATAACAATTGTTCCTGTAAAAGAACAACCAACATATCCTGAAGTTAGCAGAGACTTAAGTTCTGTTGCAGATATTCGAAACGACTACCAACAACTGAAAGACAAACTTCAAACTCAGGAGAAGATTTGTCAAGCTTTAGGTATAATGTTAAACTTGGTCGAACACAACCCTGTAAAAGTGAACTCATATGTCATTGCACCTCATGAAGTTTTGAAAGAACTATTGAAACTTTTGACAGAGGCAGACGATATAAACATCAAAAGAAATAGAACCCGACATTAGTTGCTGTGGTGTTTCATATAATGTCATTGACAAGATATACGTTATGAAAGGAGGTGAAACGTTGAACTTAAAGTATAGTTTTCCCAGACGTTATAAAAATATTTGACGACCACAACATTTCATTAAAATTTATTTGCTAAGTAAAAATGTCAAAACTTCTTGAAAGATGTTTGAAGAAAAATAATATAGACTTTATTTCATATAAAGGACTTTACACACTTTTGAACGATATGAAAGACCCTGTTTTGTTTGTTCGTGTAGACAAAGGAAAGTTCTATGTCTTTACAAAATATTTGAACTTCTTAGACAGAGAACTTCAAGAAACCTCATGTGAAAGTTTAGATGAAGTTCTTCTCCACTTTCAGAAAAACTTTTAAATATATATAAATGGCAGAAGATATAATGGTTTATACTATTACGACTAAAAACCCTGAGTCATATAATTCTATAACAACAAACTTACAAAGTCCTCAAGGACGATATTGTAAACTAACTTTAAACACAATGACGACTAAAGCCTGTTTTGCTCTTTTGACACCAGAAACTTTATTGTTGTGAATGGTAAAAAATACTCCTTTGAAGATACTTACTCAGATATACCACCAACAGGTTTTGTTGACTTATTTAATACTTTAAGTACAGGTGTAACATGTGCTGCAACTAGAGCAGGTTTCATTATGTTTGGATGTCCGACTGAGTTTACTATAAACAATATGAGCTATAATACAAAACTTATTTCTGGTTTTTACTACCAACAGTTTCCTATAACAGGAAAAGGTGTCATACAAGGAATGTCTATTCCATTGACATTAAGCACACCAATCTTATATATTGTTTCAAACTTAGGTTCAAAGTGTTATTCGAATGTCGACAGAAACTATTATGACCAAAAGATACTTATGCGTATAAACAATACTTTCTCTGCTGGTTTGCCTATTGTTCATTCGAAATGCAGAATTTTCAACCTTAGTGAACTCAAACACTTTGGCAAGTATAACGTTGACATTAGTTGACGCAAACTTTGTTCCTGTAAAACTTTTATGTCCTATGTATTTGTCAATGACGGCAGAAAGTTTCGAATTGGAAGATGCAACTGTGAAAGTATTGTATTACAAGAACAACTTCAACAACAAATAGCTCAAGAACAACAAATGCAACAAATGCAACAACAAAGTCAAGAATAAAAAAAAATATTTTTTTTATTTATAAAAATGTACAGAATAGATTTTCAGATTTTTATGACTTCCAAGCATTCAAAATATGTGTCCATTTAGAGACTATAACAAAGCAGTCGAGAATTTGAAACGTTTAGTCATTTATGTCGACTCTGCCCCAGAATGTTATGTTATGAAAGAATGGGATGTAGTCTTTAACAAACCTAAAGCGACAATAGTTTCAGAACAAGAATGTAGACAGAAACTTAAGAAAATAAAAGTTGTACAAGTTGGCATGAAGATGTTAGATGCTTGGGATATCTTATTGTCAAAACTTGAAGATTTTTCAGTTCGAGGTATAAAGTTTTATACACCTTCTCCAAACTTCTATTCTATCTTCACTGGATATAAATATGAACAAGTAGAATGGAAAGAAAATATTATAGAAGCTTGGTTAGACCATGTCAAAGAAATTATATGCAATGGAAACGAAAAGGTTTATGAGTATATCTTATGTTGGTTTGCAAACATCTTACAACATCCAAGTGCTAAGAATGAAACTGCTCTCATTATAATTGGAAAACAAGGAACTGGTAAGAATACATTCTTTACAGATATTTTGTGCAAACTGTTAGAAGGTTATTCGAATCCGAATATGACAAACTTAGAAAACATCTGTGGCAAGTTTAACTCCTCAATAGAGAATATGAAACTTATAGTTTGCAATGAACTTCAAAGTATAGATACAACAAAAGTTTTGAACTCAGATGCTTTGAAGAGTCTTATAACAGACAAAGTTGGAGTTGTTGAAAGAAAATATAAAGACCAAAGAGTTTGTGAAAATGTTGCAAACTTCATTATGGTTTCAAACAATGCTGTTCCGATGCAGTTAGAAAGTTCTGACAGAAGATATGTAGTTGTCAGAACGTCAGAAGCTCATATGCAAGATACAGAATATTTTGACGACTTAGCAGAAACTTTGACATCTGACTTTTACAACCACTTGTTCTCATATTTCATGACATTAGATATTTCTAAGTTCAATCCAAGACAAATTCCACATACCGAAGAGAGACAAACATTGTTAGAAGCAAACAAGAGTGTATATGAACTGTTCATAGATGAAACTGACTTTGAGTGTTTAGATGAAAGGTCATTGTACGATTCGTATAAACAATATTGTCAAGAATATGGTTATATGACAGCGTCTAAACGAACATTCTTGGCAAATGTCAAAAGTCTTTTAGACGTACAGAATGGTGTATATACAAAGAAAAATTTTTATGAGTAAATTTTAAAAAAAATATTTTTTTTATCCGATAGAAAAGATGACGAAATATATTTCAGTAAACAAGTACATGTCAGGACTTAAAGAAGAACTAGACCCATTCACATATTTGAATGTTTACTTCTACCATTTTGAAAAGTCTTCATTCAGCAAAGTTTGGAACATCGAACCAGTTAAGTTTGCTATTGTGACTAAAAATGGTGCGAAATTTGAAGACTTAGAGATAGAAGGTTTGTTAGCAGTCAAAGAAAGTTTTGACAGAAGGTTTTCAAAACCTTAAAGAAGGCAAAGCATACAAACTTGTTATACCTTATGAACCAAAGAAAGCAGACGACTATGAATATTATGAGTCTAAGATAGTTGAAGTTCAAGGTAAATTGGGTAAAAAGATTTTAGAGTCTAAGCCAGTGTTTGCTCCTAAAGAGGAAGAGAACATTGACATTGACCCAGAAATGTTCTAAAAAATAAAATTTTATTTTTACATGTCAAATTTCTTTTTCTCTGGAACTGGTTCAGGTTCTTTCTTCTCTTCTTCTACTTTCTTTTCTTTCTTTTCTTTCTTCTTCTTTTCTGGTGGAGTTATGTCAAATTTCTCCGAACCATATTTATGTAAAAGTTCTTTGTCCTTTAATAGCTCATCTATTCTGTTTTCTATTTCATCTTCAAGAACAGCGCATGTGTCTTCTTTGCATTCTAAGAACTTTTGTTGGACTTCATCTCTCCAAGAGGCGTCATCTCTGTCAACAAGTCTGTCATTGACAAATTTTAAGACTGCTCTGCTTAATGTTTTATGGTTCTTGTCATATTCCCAGAAACAGAACTTTAGAACAAATTCACCTTTCTTGTTTACACTATGTAAGATTTTATGGTCGACAGATGTTTTGCTGTCGAAAAGCTTGTCTCGAATATAGATAGTGAAATCGCTAGACATTTTCTAAAAGATAAAAATTTTAATTTTTCTAAAAATTGTTAGAAAAAAAGTTTGCTGACATTGACAAGAAATTTGAGAATGTTTTAAACAAGAACAAGAGGAAGTTAGAAAATGCTCAGATAAAGCCTATACATGACAAGTTCTTATTTGCTCAGAATGGTATAACAGGTCTAATTGCACCACCTGGGTCGGGTAAGACTTTCACTTATCTTAAAATGGCTGCACAACAACAAGAACTAGATGAGAAGAACCCATTCTATGAGTTAGTTGTTTTTTATTGTTCGACTTCTGGTCAATTTGACCAAACCGTCAATTCGTTCAAAGATATTATAAAGAAGTCTAAGTTAGTATGTATAAAGGATACTGAGTTGTTAGATTGGATAAAGAAGTACCAAAGAAGAGTTTTGAAGTATAATGCTATAAATGAGTATATAAATTCTAAGTTTAAAGACCCAAATGAGGAAATGCAGAGAATATTAGAGAAGAAACACTTCAGAAACAAACAGAAAGAGATAGAATACATTTCGAAGAAATTGCAATCTTACGATTGGAAGACATACCCTCATAGGTGTCTTCTTATCTTAGATGACTTTGCTTCTCATCCTTTGTTAAAGAATAGAGAACAAGACATGTGTCGAATTCTTAAGAAGCTTAGGCACTTTAACATCTCAGTTGTCATTTGTGTACAGACAGCAAAGAGTTTAAGTAAGGATGTTAAAAGAATACTTACTGACATTGTACTTTTCCCCGGATTGTCCGAAGACGATTTCATGGAACTTATGAAAGAGTCCATGGCAGGTAAGTTTGACAGACATGAACTATGGGAGAAGTACAAAGTCATACAAGACCCTCATACTTCTTTCAGAATTCATATCTACGCGAACAAAGTTCAAATTGTAAAAAGTCAAGCTTGAAAAATGTAAGTGTTTAGTCTTAGTAAGTCTGTTGTGGTGCTGGGGCTGTCGGTTCTTCTGGCTTTGGAAGGCATTCAGGAAGAGGAACGTCAGTCATCCGTTTGTGTCCTGTTGGAAGGAAGAACTTTTCCAGTTGTCCGGAAAAACTTTTCCTGTTGGAAGGAAAAATTTTTTCTGTTGGAAGGAAAAACTTTTCCTGAAGTTCGACCAAAAAGTTCTCAATTTTCGAAAATTTGAATGGTTTACGGACGGACAACTGGAAAATTTTTTCCTGTTGGAAGGAAAATTTTTTCCTGTTGGAAGGAAAATTTTTTTCTGTTGGAAGGAAAAACTTTTTCTGTCGGATGGAAGGACTCGGAATGCCAGAAGGATTTGACAAGGCAGTTTACCTTATAGAGCTACCTGAGCCATCTGAAGTCAAGCTTGAAAAATAAATGGTTCATCTACTCTACTTGTTTGAAGTTGTCAAAATACTCTGTTATTTTTTCCTTTAACAATGGCAAATCTTCTTTGAAGGTAAGTATTGTACAACCTTTCATATCATAGTGTGTTTGAGGTAACGTATCTTGAACTATTTGTTTTCACATCTTCATTTGGGGTCATTGAAATCGGTAAGTTTTCGCGATAGAACCAATTTCTGTCAGATTTGTAAATCTTAGCAAGGTCGTAAAAGCTTTTGTTGTTTCTTCTGACTAAATGCAACATAACCATATCTTTATCTTCTTCATTTTCCATCTCTTCAGTATAAATCATATACTTATAGTTCTTTTCCTTTCCTTTTGGTACCGAACGTGGTATTCTTTTCTGAATGTTTTTTGTCTTTTGCTTCAAGCTTGTTCTCTAGCTCTTCACGTTCTTGTCTATGAATTTCATCTAACATCATGAAAATATAACAAGCGTAACGAGGTGAAGCCCACATTGCAACAGCATTTACAAGAAGTCTATGTACATACCAGCCTCTCAAACCATTTAGCAAATTTTTACGATTTTCGTACGGAATCTCGACCCGCGGTTTTCCTCGGGTCGCAAACATATGAGGAAATTCTTCTAAAAGTTCTTTTGTCTGTTGGTTTTCAAACCAATGATGTGCTTGCTTTGTAGAACGAAGAGCATTCAAAATACTTTGCATCTGGTACATATCGTCTTTGACTGAACGAATGAGACGGAGTTGTTTGTTAAACTGTATGTACTCATATTCTTCATTTATAGCTTCATGGACTATAACTGTTGTTGTGTTCTCTGTTGTTGACATATCTGTCTTTACATACAAAATAAAAAAATAAATAAAAATAAAACTAACTTTATTTTTTCTGTCTTAAGGAAACTCATGATTTTTGTGCTGAATTCAATAAAAATATAATTTAGGGTAGAAGGTTAGATCTAACCTCCTTTCTACCCTCTTTTCTACCCCAGTTATTTTATAAACGTTTTACATGGTAAACGTTATTTTTTAAATTTTGTGAAAACTCAACGGTTTGACACATGCCTAAAAATATAGTTCATCTAACATCATGTAAACATGCCATGCATAACGAGGAGAAGCCCACATTGCAACAGCATTTACAAGAAGTCTATGTACATACCAACCTCTTAAATTTATTGGCAAATTTTTACGATTTTCATGTGTTTTATGCATGGCCGGAAAAAATCGGTCTAGAGAAATTTCACTCAAAAGTTCTTGTGTGCTTTGGTTTTTGAACCAGTCGTCTGCGTGTTTAGTATCTGGAGCAAAACATGCTGTCAAAATACTTTGCATTTGGTACATATCGTCTTTGACCGAACGAATGAGACGGAGTTGTTTGTTAAACTGAACCCACTCATATTCTTCATTTATAGCTTCATGGACTATAACTGTTGTTGTGTTCTCTGTTGTTGACATATCTGTCTTTACATACAAAATAAAAAAATAAATAAAAATAAAACTAACTTTATTTTTTCTATCTTAAGGAAATTCATGATTTTCATGAGTTTTAGGCGACTAAGGTTTCTTACCTACTCGCTGTTCTTCACTGTTTTTCGTACGGAATCTCTACCCTCGGTTTTCCGAGGGTAGCAATCTTATGCCATTTTACTCAGAAATTTGTGCTGAATTCAGCAAAAATAATGTTTAGGTGAAGAGGTGCGATCTCACCTGTTTTTTCACCTGTTTTTTCACCTGTTTTTTCACAACCGTTTTACATGGTAAACGTTATTTTTACATGTATTTTTCAGCAACTTCGTCAAATAATTTTATAGCTTTATCTATCTCATCTACTTCAAACGTTTCTTTACCTTTTATGGGAGCACCATACATTTTCTCAAACTTTTCAAGTAGTTCTGTTTCAGCAGCTCTCATATCGTTAACGAACACAACCTTGACTCTATTGACTGTACTGTCATATCTTTGAGTTATATTATATGTTCTTCCTATCTTATATCTCTTTGTATTGAAGTCCTTCGGTTTCTGAAAACGATGTAAAGTAAGCCTTCACTGCAACGTTCCGTATCGTAATGAACCATATGTTATGAAGTTATATCCAACAACTGGGTCTAACCATAACAAAACTATTGGTATAAGACTTTTGTCTATAAGATATGCTGTAGTTCCATAGAATCTTACCGATATCATAAGCTCAGGATTTCTTGTCAAAATTTTCTGAGTAGAAGCAATTTTAACCCAGTCGTTTGCTTTCTTTCCAGATGGAGATAAAATGTCTGACAAAGAATATTTGTTGTATTTCTTTGAGTATCTTACGTTTAAATCACCTATTCTAACCACTTTGGTGTCATTGTCTATCTTTTTAACTGTTTCAAACTCAATGTTTGTCATTTCTGTTCTTACATACAAAATAAAAAAAATATTTTATAAAAAACTAACTTTATTTTTTCTGTCTTAAGGAAATTCATGATTTTCATGAGTTTTAGGCTAGACCGATAAAATCCGGTCTAGAGAAATTTCACGATTTTCATAGAGTTTTAGGCTAGACCGATAAAATCCGGTCTAGAGAAATTTCACGATTTTCATACGGAATCTCTTCTCTCGGTTTTCCGAGGGAAGCAATCTTATGTCATTTTACTCAGAATTTTGGTCATTTTTCAGCAAAAATATAATTTAGGGTAGAAGGTTAGATCTAACCTCCTTTCTACCCTCTTTTCTACCCCAGTTATTTTATAAGCGTTTTACATGGTAAACGTTATTTTTTAAATTTTGTGAAAACTCAACGGTTTGACACAAGCCCTAAAAATTATTTTACTCAGAATTTTGTTGCTGAATTCAATAAAAATAATGTTTAGGGTAGAAGGTTAGATCTAACCTGTTTTCTAACCTGTTTTCTACCCCAGTTATTTTATAAGCGTTTTACATGGTAAACGTTATGAATTCGTGAGACTCTAAACAGTTTTGTAGCTTCTATTTCTTCGCTGAGGATATCGAATGTTTTAACTATGCCGAAAGTTTCTTTATACTTCTTCTTGACGTCAGACAGAAGGAAATCGTCAGCAGTTGGATAGTTTTTGTTCAGAAATTCTAACATGTTCATTTTATCTTCTGCTGGTTTCTCTGCTTCTTTCTTTAAATCTGCATAGTCGTTTCTCATTCTTTCTATCTCTTTGACGGAGTAGTTATATCTCCTCATTGCTGCTTTACATTTAGAACATTGCGGGTTCATTTTTGCGTTATATTCTGAAACCTTACCTGCTAAAACAACTAAAGCGTCAATTGCTCTCTTTAACTCAAAAGCTGCTGGTTTTATCTGTTCATTCCATACCTTACCTCTTCTATCTTTATCTCTTATCTGCCATACACATTCTGCAACTAACGAAACAAAGTTGTCGTAGGTCTTAAACTCCCCAGATTTATATATGTCAGAGATGTTCTTATATAACATGTCGCAATCTTTGTCCATAACTTTATGGTTGCAATGAAATCCTAGAAACTCATAGTTTACCTTTCGTATGAACTTCTTTATTTCTACTGAGTCAGTTGCTTTGACTTCTATTTCGTCGAATTCAGGAATGGTTAGTTTTTGTTGCTGAATTTCAGGCAATTTGGGTAAATGGTCGATGAGGTCCTGCATTTCATAAAGATACTGTTCATTTGTTTCATCTTTCGCACTACAGTTTAAATTAGATGTTAAAAGTTCTTGCTTTATCTTCTGGATTTCTGTTTCGAAAGTATATGAAGAAGGAATGAAGCTTTTCATCTCTACTAACATAGATGTTGGATTCATGACTAAAGAGTTTGGTGAAGTTGTTGTTTGAACTGTTGTTGTGCCGATTGTTGAAATCATATCTTTTATACAAAAATAAAAAAATAAAAAAAAATAAAACTAACTTTATTTTTTATTTCGGGAAAATTCATGAAAATTCAAGAGGTTAGAAAACAGGTGAGAAAACAGGTTAGATCTAACCATCTACCCTAAATTATATTTTTGGGTCCTTTACACTCATTACGAAGAAGTCTTGACAAAACATTTACGTTCATGTTTGACAAAACATTTACGAAGAAGTCATGAAAATTCAAGAGGTTAGAAAACAGGTTAGAAAACAGGTTAGATCTAACCTTCTACCCTAAACATTATTTTTGTCTGATTTACGCTCATTACGATGAAGTCTTGACAAAACATTTACGAAGAAGTCATGAAAATTCAAGAGGTTAGAAAACAGGTTAGAAAACAGGTTAGATCTAACCTTCTACCCTAAAATATATTTTTGGTGTAAATTTCATGATTTTCGAGAGTTTTAGACCATGTTAGAAAACAGGTTAGAAAAGAGGTTAGATCTAACATTCTAACATAAACTTTATTTTTGCTGAATTCAGCAACAAAATGAACGAGGTCAGGATGTATGCAAATACCTTTGAATTCATTCATAACACCCTTTGTAAGCTCATAAAATGCTTGTTTTGAGGTCGAGCCACTTTTGGCTCCACCGTATTCTTTCAACCAAAACTCAAGAATTTTCTGCATGAATTTTGTATAAAAAGCAACCGTCTGAATTCCGGCGGTTGCTATATTCTTCACAAAACATTTACGTTTAGTTTACGAAGAAGTCATGACAAATTCAAGAGGTGAGAAAACGTGTTAGAAAACGTGTTAGATCTAACATGCTAACATAAACATTATTTTTCAATACTTTTTCAGCACTTTTCCGTAGTTATATATGAAAGACAATTCGAGATAAAAGTCATAGTACAATGGAATAATATGTTGCACACCATTTGTTGTGAACCAAACTTGAAAGTCAGAGAAACTGTTACTAGGTGGTTCGTAGAATTTAGAAGCAAAGTCATAAAAGTCCTTACCAATACATAGAAAACTATTGTTGCTTGAACTGAAACTTGCATGACACATAACATTTTGAGGGTCAAACACGTTTCTATAAACTGTCAAATCTGCTGGTGGAAGTATAAATTGAAATGGACCATCTGGTGGTAATGGTTCGTTCTGGTTTAGTAACCGAAGAAATTGTGCCCAAGAACGTTTGTCTACTTTCCAATATAAAAACTCTGTATCTCTTGGAGGGTTAATTTCAATCTTTTGAAATGAAACGGTGGAGTTCATCTTGTCATATTCTAGTTTCAGATAGTATGTTCCATTTAGTAAAGAGTCGTATTTTTCTTGAAATTCCCAATAATATTTGTTCATTTGAGTTTGAAAGTCATTTAGAGTTTTCTCAAGACTTTCGTCTGAACGAACTGTAAAGATTCTCATTTCGTCAAATTTGTCTATTAGACCATCATGACCTTTATACTGCCCATGAAAATATACTGCGAACATAAATGCGTTAGTTCTATTTGAAAACAAAACTCTTCTAAATCCTATTGCCTTTGCATCTGAAGGACTTTGAAGCCAACGAATTGGATAGTCAAACCTGTATATTCGGGATGAAATTTCTTCATCTGAAATAGTCCTACCAGCATTTGTAAAGATATAGTCTAACGGTTTTGTATCTGCTACTTTTGTTCTTTGTTTTTCAACCTGAAGCATTTAATATATGTAAAAATATATTGTTTTAAAATGGTATGCCATATAGCTTCTTGAATTTGTTAAGAAGTATTTGAACGTGTTTTCCATCTGTATCTCTAGTGTTTACATAAGCATAGCCTTCCTTAGTAAAATATACTTGTAATTTCCTATAGTTTACGCCGGTATAAAAGTAGAAAGAGTCTTGTTCTTCGCTATAGTAGTAAAACTCAAACGTATGCTTGCCATAGTCTATAATTTCAATTGTTTCATCTTCTAGTTCGTCGACAAATTCGAATACAATATCTCCAAATTTGCCTTTGTTCTTATTGTTTTCAGAACGAGTGACCCAACGTAAGTTTTCAAGTCTATTGTCGTTTCTTATACGGTTTATATGGTCTACAAAAGGTAAATTGTTAGGATTCAGTATAAAATGAGTTGCAATGACAACATGTTTAAGATAGCGTTTCCCACTCATCTTCATAATAGCATATCCGTCATTTCGCTCCCATTCGCTTAAAACTCTTTTTGTCTTTTTGTTTCTGACTTCAAATGACTCACAACAGTGAATTTCATATTTCTCATCTAACAAACAAGTTTCCCAACGGTCTTCTCCAACAAACTCAGCGTACATTTCAAATAAAATAAAAAAATATTTTTTAAAAATATACTGTTTTAAAATGGTATGCCATTTCATATTTCTCATCTAACAAACAAGTTTCCTTCAACTTGAGGTTCACTAACAAACTCAGCGTACATTTCAAATAAAAATAAAAAAATATATTTTTTTCTTTACTTAACATAACCGCCTGCTGCCATAAGTCTTTGACGCCAACCCATACCAGCTAATGAAGGTTGACTTGGTTTAGTTTCCAAACTAAACTTTGGTTTTGGTTTATCTTCAGTTTTTGGTTTTTCTTCTTCTATCGGTTTTTCGTCACTTTTCGGTTCCTCTGACTTTTCCCCACCTGCAGGAACAGTTGTGTCGTCAACATCTTCATAAATATCATATGCCATTTGTTTTTGTTTTCCTTTCAACTTTTTGTGTTTGTTGTAAAGTTTAGAATATTTCGACTCTAAGTCAATGAGATGTTCTATAATGAACTGTTGGTCAGTGAAGTAAACTTTTCCATCTGTTGTCTCGAAAGCTCCTTCAGACTTCAAAATTTTATTTGTGAGAGTCTGTTTCTTTTTTGAGATACTAGCCGTTCCATTTCTATGAAAAGTGACTTTATAGTTAGGGTTTGTATTTCCAGACCTGGCACTTTCTATTATTGAATTTTCTCTTCATCTGTAAGTTCTTTGACAGGTTTTGACAATGGTTCTGAACTTTTTGTTTGTGGTGTCAAATCTACCGTTTCAACTTCTTCGGTCATTTCATCTCAGTAAAAAATTTAGTTTGGTTGTTTTCAACTGGTTGTTGTTGTTTTTTAAGTCGGTCTAAAAACTTCCTGAGGTATAGGAAGAACTTGACAAACACGTTGTGTAACTGCTGGAAGTCGACAAATCCATCTTGAACCCATTTGTCTCAATGCTGTATTGTTCATTTCATCTCAGTAAAAAACTTTACATTCCCCACGTTTGAGGCGGTTGAGGTTGGTTATTGTTTACCCATTGTTGTGCATGGTTATATCCTCTGTTAAAGAATCTTTCACCTTGGTCCATATAGTGTCCTGCTTGGTTATAGTAGTCATTTGCTTTGTTATAATAGTTTCCTGCTTGTCTTCCTACATTGTCCATCCATCCTTGAACTTTTCCTCTTGTTTCAGGATTTGGAATAAGATTTGTTGCATCTCGTGCTACATCCCAACCTTTCTGTACAGTTTGTATAATAGGTTGTGCTTTCTCTTTAAGTATACCTAATGTACTCAAAATCTTCCTTCCAACTCCAAATACACCTCTGGCTATTGTTCCAACTGCGGGCAAAAATCTGGATGCAACTCCTGCTAATGCGCCAAATAAACCCATTTCTTATGGGTTAAAAAATGACGAATCCAAACAAGGACCCCTATGTTTCTAAAGCGACAAAGAAAGCACTCATGATAAAAATCTTTAGTTCAACACCAAATGCTTGGTTTATGGATATCTTGGAAAACATTCCGAGGTATAGAGAAGATGGACCACCATACTGGCTAATATTTGTCGGTCAAAACACAAGATACTGTGAAGCCATACCATTATGGTCCAAAAATATTTTAGATGTGAAAACTGCTTTGACAATATTCGTTGACAAATACCATCCAACAAAACTGACATCTGACTGTGAAAGTTCTTTCAAATCAGATGATGTAAAAAACTATCTGCGTTCAAAAAATGTAAACCAATATTTCATTGTCGACCAAAACCATTCTGCTCTTGGTGTCATTGACGGTTGTATAAAAATGTTAAGAGACTTAAACCAACCACAAGGTGGTGAAGCAAATGAAATGTCATATGACGACAAATATAGACACTTCTCCATGGCAAAGATGAGACAAGTTTTAAATATTTACAACAACCGTAAACAAAAAGGTTTGGGAAACCACTCCCCCGAAGAAATGAAAAACAACCCTGACTTAGAGAAAGACTATATATTTAATAATTTAGTCAAAAGAGACAAACAAGAAAGAATGCCGGGCTTCAAACTTCAGAAAGGTGACAAAGTAAAAATAGAAATACCTAAACGCGACCCATATGAAAATACTATTGACTATGACAACAATGGGAACTCGACAGGTACTCACATTCGTGTTCGTAAAAATAGAAGAAAGTATACAAGAGAATATTATGAAGTTTTAGGCAAACATGGCAAAATGTACACACTGCAAGCAGAAGATAAAACTACTATTGTCAGACCTCGTTTCAAACTTGTCAAAGTTCAAGGTGGTATACTTTCAAAGACAGTTCCTAACAAATATAAGACAACTCCTGACGAATATGCTAAAGAAGTTGAAAATGACGACTAAGCAATTCTATACCATGCGTAAACTGTCATGTAAGGTGGCATATATTCTTTACTTTGTCCCGTTGTTTGCGTATATCCTGAAACGAAATGTGTATGGTTTCCTTCTCCCTGCGTGTCATCCCAGTAACAATTTATAGCAAACTTAACGTCGTCTTTAACATCATATCCTTGACCTTTTGTCATTCCTGACCAATCCCAATATCTATGCTTATGCCAACCTGCTTGAGATGTACTTAAATCTATGTAGTGACTGTGTGCAGGTAAATTTTCACCTGAAATCGTTTTACTTCCACCTGTTTCCTTTGAAGAGTTTGCACAATACAAAAACCTGTCGACTATTTGTTCCCATGCACCAACACCAAACATTACTTGAGGACCT